CCCTCCCTCTCTCACTCTCACTCTCTCGCTCTCTCTCTCTCTCTGGTTCTCTTACTCTCATTCTCACGTTCGCACCCCTATCTTTCATTATATTTCACTTTCTCACTCTCGAACTCGCTCTCCTTGATTACCTCACCTTTTTTTCAATATTTTTTCTCTTTTCTTGTTTTTAATTTTAGAATTCGTGTCACTGTTGAGCTTGTTAAACTTCAATGCGGCGTCATTTCTTTGCATCCGGAGGAAATTCTTTGAAAGATTCGAAGACACTTGCGATTGGTCATTCTAACAGTACAGCGCGAAAGGGAAACGAAACGTCTAATTGGAAACACTTTAAGAGAGTTCCCTGAATCTTTTGTCGCGAACCGGACGTGGAATTGTTCGAAGTCTCCAACAATACTCAGGACACGAAGGGTATTAATTAAATCAACAGAAAAATAACTGACGAGGAATACAAATTAACTGTGCGTCGATCTTGCATAGAAACGTGTATCATCGCTGTGAAAGATCGGTGGGCCACATTACTCGTGGCAAAAAGAAATGATACGTCCTAGAACACAACGTTCCGATACTATTCTCCGAGTCTTCGATACCGATTGCTCTATGTTCGCCAATATTTCGCGTTGTACATAAAAATCGTATGACAGGGTGACCCGTGTACCGCGCTCGAATATCGGCTACATCGATTCCGCAATCGTATATAATACACGGCGATACACACCCTCTAAATAATCTTGTTCAATTACCGACGACGATCGATAACTCGTCCAAACCGAAACGATACGCGTGTTTCATATCGCACCCACAGACAATAGAAAACTCATTAGCCCTCGAAACACCGCTTCACACCGAAAGAACACGCTCCCCGATTATACAAGAACAAAACAGAACACGATCGATCGTTCCTCGTGCTCCCCTTTCCCGTCCGCAGCTCGTACGGTCTTTCCGTTTCCCGATAATATCTCTTCGAGAGAAATCGTTCTACCACATTAAGTGCATACAACAACAATTAATATACGGATGACTAAATCATTGTACATGCTAAGCCGCGGGCGCTGGCCGCGCGGTCGAATAGATTGCTAAAGGTCCGGAACCAAGATTCGTCTCGGAAATCTTGAATTTTGATTAACGAACACCGCGCGCACGGGACTCGGTTGCTGTCCCAGCGCATTAAATTAAAAAAGGGACGCAGGATAGTCTAGTGTATTGCTAGAATTAGTTATCGACGATCACCGAGTGCGAGACCGTATTGATATGAAAGCGCACACAACACGTGAGAACTGGGAGCGTCCCACCCCCATTTCGCGAACAGGGGTCGACGCTTTGGTCATCGACAAAGTTCATCGTCATCAACGATCATCTCCGATGCACTTAACAACGAAAACAGGATTGCGAATAAACGGCGCGAACCAATCCGTCCTCGTTCTCCGTGACTTCTCAACGAATGCCGTGAGCCGTGTCGATCATCCCCCGCAATGATCTCATATATCCTCCCGGAGTATTTGAATCAGTGGCAAACAAAGCTCACGGTATGAACCCATTCGGGGAATACGTCGCACGATCATTCGTAAAACATCTTTTTCCATATTTTTTACCACCGATCGATACGCTCTGCACTTAGAAATTCTAGTTCCTTTGTCGATTTGCAATTTATACATAACTACAACCGTTACACACGCACACATATGATTACATTATGCTAAACAACGTGGACACTAACGACGTGCTTTTTTTCATCTTCTTCTTCTTATTCTCCTTAGTTTTTTCTGTTTTCGTCTGTGTTTGATACACGCATCCCACACTTTCCTGTTCAGCAATTATCTTGACGCATCATTTCTTGCACCGTAAGCTCCGCCATATGCTCGGAGAAAGCGCTCAAGGAACAAACACGAGGCGACTGTATCGGATCTAAACCACGGATCGAAGGAAACATTCTCTATACACACTGCAGCGTTACACACACGGTGATCTTTCGGCGAGTGGCTCGGCGTTTGAACGCATACGTCCGATCTTTTAACGAAATCGTTTACGGTTTTACCCTTCTTTCTTTGTTCGCTGTTGGTCGCATCCGCCGCGGAAATACTCGTATACCGTCGAAATTACGCGGCGGAAAGGAACCAAACGATCTTGTTCAGCTTTGCATGGTACTTTGGACCGGACTACGCAGCGATCTTTGTACTGAAAAGCATTTTCTTATGACGAACCGAGTAAAGTCACTGTGAGAAATGCACTTGAATTTTGAAATTCGATGAGGCTGATAGGATTGCAGAACATTTCGAGCGAAGAAATTAGAATATACTTAGGGAATCTGCTTGTATGCATTACTAAAAAAGTAATAATCTTACAAATATAAATTGTCACGTGTTTTTTCCTTTTTTTTATTAATTAGGGCAGGTGTGACATTACAGTGCATTATTCCGGATATACACCGAATAGTCGTTTTTCAACTTTTGATGTTAAAACCACTTAACATTATAAAATACTACTAAGTAATAAAATTCGAGTTAACGTCCCAAACCTTGCATAAGGTGAATCCACGCTCACAAATCTTTTCGTTCATCATAACTGGAGGTTTTCATGAATGTACAAAAATCGCTGCGCGCCTGTAAATTCAAAACGTTCCACCGATTTACGTGACCCTTTCGGAAAGCTTTCCAAAATCGGAGTGGACATGATACCATCGTGATAGATCGTGTTGAAAAACAAAACGCAGAATAAATAAAATTAAACGCTACGGATTTACAATCTACGATCAAATATCGCACACACTTTGTCGTTTTCTTTTTAAATGAAACGAATCTACTTAAGACAAAACAAATTCGTTCCTGATAACCGTCCGAATAACATGAATGTTATTAGTGTATGGACCAGATTGCATTTCTTTTCCAAGAGTTGCAAAGCACTTGGTCTAATTCCACGCACACATTCGTGACTCACGTATTAAATGTTCTCGACTGAGGTAACGGTAAAAAATCTCAGAAGCCTGTCTTTAGCGCCGCAAACTTATTCTCATCCAGCATAGCGCGTTCCATTGACCCGAAACAGAATTATTACGCTACGTTAAAGAAAAACATTTGCAGGTTCGAAGAGGCTCTTAAAAACGTAAAATTGCATGTAACGAAATAATTTAATAATCATAATAATAATAATATTATTATTAATAATAGTGTACCTCGCATAACTTTCGTTATCAGAAGTGCCTGTGTATCGTCTACGACCACTATTGTCACGACTACTACGAATTCGATTACGACTTACGGAAAAAAAACAAAAAAATAAATCCCAATTTAATAATAGCGAGTAGTAGTAGTAGAGTAGTAGAGT